CTTCCAAAAAAGAACATGTTGGCTTCAAAACAATAATTGTTCTTGAGGCTTGACCTTGATCTTGGTTAGATATTGTTGTGAAGAGAGGCCGGATGATTTTCATGAGTTCCTTTTGCTTGGAGGAGGACCTTCAGGCTCGCTGGGACGTTCAGGCTGTGGGCACTCCCAGAATCTTCCATATCTGTGATGGCTACCTGATGGTTGCGATTTGTCGTACCAGCTGTTGCCGGATGAGTAAACGAATGAATCGTTGTAACCCCAGTATTCAGCATTACGCTGCTTGTAAGCCTTTCGCTTGTCAGCGATCTTTTGGACCTGGGCATCTGATCGGTTGTGTTTACCTTTTGTAAGGATTGGTTGTATCGTGAAGCCCAATGGGCTGTGCCAATCTTTGTCAGTGGGACCCAACCATAGGTCAAGGTTAGAAAAAGTTGAATAGTACTGCTTGACTGAAACAAACAGACGGATATCAATATCCCTGTTGTTGTTCGTGTCCTGCCACATATCTGAGATTCGTTCCCAGTATGTTCTTTCAGCGGCAGGTGTGACCTCTCTTGGACTAGGTGACGCCGTATGCGGCGTTTTACTCCAGTCAAGGATATAACTGTTGATACAGTCAAGGTCAGCAACTTTCTTCGCCGGGCTCGCCCCGCCGGTTGGTAAAAGGTCTGAACGTGGCCAGTCTGTTGCTGGTCGGAGTTGTTCAAAGCAAAGGAGATTGTACCCCGCCGACTTGGTTGAGTGCTGTCTTGTCCGCTATTGTGTTGAATGCTGAAAGTTTTTCTTTTCTCCAGGTATAGAGAAACCAAACTGTTTCGTCGGCTGTGAAAGTATCCACTTTTAAGGTGAGCTCGACGCAATATTATTGAGATCGCCCGCTATTACATCCGGTTAAAGGGGAGAACCCGTGGAGGAAACGCGTCAACCAGTTCGCGTCTATGTTCTTCCTTATTGAGTCATGAACGAGTGGATATGGACGATTCCGCGATGGTGATTGACTTGAAGGCCCTTTTTGTACACCCCATCTCGTTCAGAATCGTTCAGAGCTTCTGTGAGAAGATCTCCGTGTATGACTCAAATTTTCCTCTGGTGGTCGAATCACCCTCGACATGGCCGTTCCATTCACAGAGAATCGGCGAGGGGTCGAGGTTCGACAGTGTCAGGCACGCCTTTGGTGAGAGGTAAGAGCCATCAGTGGGTCCATCCTTGTCAGGATTTTTGCCCTTGAGTGGGTCATATCCGATAATCTGCATGAACTCGTCTCTCGTCATCCTTTGGCCAGAATATGGGTGGACCCATTCTTTTGCCTCTGGTATGGTACTGTGGTACCCAAAGGTGATGCGGCATACCGCACCGTGGCATGCCCACAGTCGCTTCTTGGGACCACCATTCTTAGGTTTCATTGTTCGATGACGATAAAAGTGGTGGACGAGAGCGATGTCTGTTGTTGGGTCACCCTTGACTCCAATATACATCGAGGGTGCCTCAGGCTCCTTGGGAGGAGAATGGATTAGCATCCCCCTGTATTCATGTTGTCGAATGGTTGCGATCGAATACTCTGACGCAAGTGCTCCTGCCTCGAGTACGAGGGTAATATGAGCTGAATTGTTGAAGCACATGTCAATAAGAGGGTGATAATCGAATCCCTTCTCAGGTTTGAGCTTCTTTTTGGGATTCCCTGCGGGAACCGGCGCTCGATCCATATTTCCCCAGTTGAATACCACTAGGTTTAGCGATACGCTGTCTGGGTTTGAGCCTTCAATGTATTCTCTCTTCTCGTTAACACCGGCCATCCTATTGCGAACTATCTCGTAATGTGCGTCGAGCACCAGTTTGTCTTCGTAGCCAGTAAGAGAGAGAAAAGAAGCCGGGTGGCTTGTTCTAGAGTCTTTGATGTTGATGTGACTCTTGTTGATGCTCTTGTATTCCTCCAGGGTTGGAGCCTCTGTGGAACTGTCATACGTATTCGGAGGATTGTTCCTAATATCATCAAGGCTGCATGGATCAACGCCTGGATGGTCCTTTTCGAACAGACTTCTTGCGTGTTCGCAATACATGTTGATTTTCTGGACTGCCAAATCTACGTCCTCATGTGTGAGGATGGCCTCGTATAAAAACTGACGCTTTTCTGAGGTCATTCCTGCTCTCACTTTGGAGGTCTCAAGGCAATCGATTGGCAAGACGCACTCGCACATCCGTTGTTTACCCTGTGGGGTAAGTCGACCAATCTGCCCTTCACAAAGCCGTTCCACAGGAATAGCACAAATCAGCCTGTAGGATGTTTTTGCGAATCGCAGAGAGGATTGTCTGGTCGAGGCAAACATTCGTATGCCTTGGTTTAAGGCTCATGGCTGTCCTGGTACTCTACAAAATCTCTCCTGTAGGAGTGCAGAGGCGGAAGATGGCCGACTTCTGGGTCTGTCCCACTCCGATTCGTTTCATGAGCCTCAGAAATCTTTGGATAATGAGTGGACTTTTTTTTTTTTGTTTGTCCCCGGATTTTTTCGATTTTCCCATCGGGACTAACCCAGATTCTTCCTCGCATTTCCTGTTGCATAGCCGGGTTAACGGGACTTCGAGATTTCGGTGGCTTGGTATTCTCGATTTCGAGCGCTGATGCGCTAATGTTCTCTTACGAGGTCTTCCTCATCAGCAGGCTCCTCGTATTCGAGGTTGAGCTTGCTTCTGTTGACTCGATAATAGGTTTCTGTTTCAGGATCGAAGAGAACTAGGAATTTTTCCTTCTCCTTTTTAGGAGATTTTGGTTTTCTTGGCTCTTCGTCTGAGCTCTGAACATATTCTTTTTCAGGCCTTGGTTGGTCAAGTTTGACCTTCTCAAGTTTCTCTGTGATCTCTTCCGTGGGAGATTCTTTCTTTTCCTCTGACGCTGCAGGTGCTGAGTTCGTCTTGTGAGACGGATTAACATCAACTCGGAGTTCTGAGGATGACGAAGATTTTGAACTCTTTTCGCTCTTCTCGCTCTTTTCGCTTGATGCCGACTCAGCGTCTGATTCTTCGTCACAATCCTGGTTAGGATCTGGTTCCTCAGGTTCCGTCTCTGTTCCAGAAGATTCTTCCTTGGGAGGAACTACATTGGCAGAAGTATCCTGCACAGGTTCTGGAGGTTTGTGACCTGTCGTTATCTTAAGAACTTCAGTGGCGCTTCTGGTGCCGTCGGAGTTCCAGAGCTGCCCCATAAGACTGTCCGGATCCTTGTCGGCCTCGGCCTGCCGGGCGAGCTTGGATCTCGGATGGATCTCCTTTGCAGTAGTCTCCGTTTTCGGAGGTACTTCACCTGCAGAAGCGGTTTGCTCCAGGTTTGGAGCTGTGTCAGCCGCTGTATTTGGCAGAGAGAAAGACTTCTTGTGAGAAGATCTAGCCTTGGGAGGCTCTGGAGGCAGATTTCGCCTTGACATCTTGCGAAGTGTCGATTCGATCTCTTGGCCGTAATTTGAGCACCATTTCTTCGATTCGTAAGTCGCTGACGGCATCTGTTCGGAGCAGTGGTCTGCCCACCATGGTCCGATGCTCTTGAGCTCATCGTATTGCGATGATACCCAGAGTGTTTCAGAGGGTGCAAATACGGCGCTAAGAGTACGGGCGTGCACTACCTCTGGTGTAGCAAACATACCTGCTTGCGACTGCCAAATGTTTGTGACTTTCGGTCACTACGTTTATTTTGCGGTGTTTCGAATTTACTAGGAAGCAGGGGCGCTTGTGGCACGCAAGGCAAAGTCGGATAGGATTCGCCAGGTGTAGCGTTGAAAACGGACCAGTGTCCCTGTTGGAAACGACTGTTTTCATTAGCACGAAGAGCTTAAGAACCTGGTGAGGTAAACAACCGCGATAGGAGGATTGATGGCTACCAGACCTGCTCAGGGATTGGGATAATGCCTGTAAGGTCCGGGGCATGCATGATGTAACAAGGGTTGTTCTGTCGAACAAAATCTTCCATGCCTACGGGCCTTGGCGCGTTAGTGGAGAGACGCTGTGCATGGGACTGCACAGGATTGCTCCCCGTTGCCATGAAGTCTGAGATGGTCATGTGTGACCTTGGCCTCTCTTCTTCAGGATCTGGTTCTTCAACTCTTGGTAGAGTTCGTCGTGAACCGTGTCCTCCCACTGCCGAGAGGAAAACTTTGGTCATGGTCAGCACATTTGCATCCGGTGGGATGGTAACTGCGGCATCTGTGGTTTCGGCCTTGCCATCTTGGTTATAAACCATAGTGACCACGAACCTGGACTTAGTGTTGAGGAGGACACCAAGCGCGATCTCTTG